AATGCCTCATTTCCACTTGATTATCGCTTTCTGGCCCACGTGTGATAATGTCCTAAGAATTGCCATCCCAAAAAAATAACTTTGTCCCTGGGTCCCCAAGTGTCCACCTGATTAACTCCACAAAATCCTCTCCTCCCAAGCCAGGATTACCCCAAGGAGAAAGCAGACCTCATTCCCCTTTCAAGCCCACAGGGAAAAGGCGGAGAAGGGAAGCCAAGTCATGGGACAGACATTCCAGAAAAGCACAAATTAACATTTGGCCTCTGGGAAGAAGAAGGATGCCTGGTCTTAAAGGAACTGAGCTGTGGCTTGAGTGTGCTGCATTCTGTGAGAGGAGGAAAAAGTGTGTGCATGGGGTGGGGAATAAGTCCTTCCAACATGCCCAAAGTCATGGCAGGGATCCAAGGAGAGAACAAGTTAATAGTTTAATGAGGGCCGCAAGCTTTGATGGAGAGCTATGCAAGCCCAGCTCTATGGGAAAAGGGCGGTTGCTATGGATGCTGTCTGGAGGTCAGTGGGATCAAACGCACTGCTCCAAGGCCGGCTGGTGCTGTTGGATTGAAGCCATGAGGCTAAAAACATTAAGGGTTACAATTGGGCCAAAGGGTTGACCAAAGAACGCCGGCTGGACTGTAGAGAATTGTCGTTTTCTTTTTAAAATGGCCTTGTTTTTGCACTTTTGGCACAACAGCCACATCCCGTAAAATATATATCAACTTCCTCAGATGCATGGAGTAATCTAAGTACATCACGTCTACGAAAGCTCATGCTACAACATCTGTCGGGGATGCTTTGATTGTGAGTTCCTGCATGGCAGGGGGGTTGGACTGGATGGCCCTTGTGGTCTCTTCCAACTCTATGATTCTATTATTCTGTGACATCATTCACTCAGTTAGTCTGAAATGTGATGCAAGATCCCTTTGCAGACTGATATTCCAGGCTGCATCTGCACTGCAGAATTAATGCACTTTGACACCGCTTTAACGGCCATGGTGCCATGCTATGGAATTCTGCATGGATATGTATTTTGTGAGATATTTAGCCTTCTCTGCCAGAGAGCTCTGGTGCCACAATAAACTACAAATCCCAGGAGTCCATGGGATGGAGCCATACGGTTAAAGTGGTATCAAACAGCATGCATTTTCCACTGCAGCAGCAGCCTTTGATGACAGGAAAAGATTCACTGCCTATATTTTTGCATGGCAGGCTGTTCTTAGGAGCAGTTCACAATCCCATCCTGTCCATTAGCCAAGACGTCTCCCAGGATGCTCCAGTCCACCACCATCACCACCACCTTGGAAAGTCTGCGCCTGAATCTGGACTTCTAATCTGGACCTCTTGGATTCTGCAGATAGCCATATCCCTTTCTGCATGTCATTATTGACTGGTGCTTTCCTAAATTTTGTACTGGATATCTTCCAAGATGGTCCATTACATCTGCAGTAGGAACTCCCAAGACTTGGGGCCAATTCTGGTCCTTCAATATAGTCTTCTTGAGGTCTCTAGATAGCCACACCATACCTCTCCCCACATTCCTATTGCCTTGTGGTTCCTTAGCTTTTGTATGTGCTGTTTCCCCTTCTTAAAAATTTGCAATGCCTCTCCTATCTCCATAGGATAAAGCTATGGCTGCATCTAGACTGCAGAATTAATGCAGTTAGGCACCGCTTTAACTGCCGTGGCCCAATGCTAGGGAATTCTGGAATTTGTAATTTTGTGAGATGTTTAGCCTTTTCTGTCAGAGAGCTCTGATTCCTATGGAATCCTGGGATTTGTAGTTTGTTGTGCCACCAGAGCTCTCTCAGAGAAGGCTAAATATCTACAAAACTACAAATCCCAGAATTCCATAGCACTGAGCCACGGTGGTTAAAGTGGTGTCAAATCATGTTATTTCTGCAGTGCAGATGCAGCCTCTGTCTAGATTCTAGAATGACATTTAAAGGAAGACTTCATTATAATCTTGAGATAAAAATGAATCCACTTCTTAATCAGACCTTAGAAAAGTTACTTTTGGATTACCATTTCCAGAATCCCAGAGTTCCGTGTTATTAACCCTGAATTAATAAACCTGATCTATATGTCATTCTTGTTCTTATCTCAGACACTTTCCAGATAAGAAAAGCCAGCATGAAAAATGGACTAAAATGAAACTTTGTTGATCAGTTTCACCATCAATAATAAGCATAACCATTTCTTAGCCATGTGTATCCTAGCGTGTCTTAATATTGTTTGACCATTAAGAATGATCACAAGAAGTTGTGAAAAGAGAGAAAGAGAAGGAAATTATACACTAGGGAATTCTGGGAGCTTAGGCAGAGTGAATCCTTTCTTTCAGGAAACAAGAAAGTACAGTAAACTTTAAACCAGAAAACATGTGACAGCATGCTTTGGGCAATAATTATTATGCATAGATCAAGATCTATCCAGCCCAGTATTCTGTTTCCACTCATCGCTGGCCAAATTCCTCAAAGCAGGGCATGAAAGTAATCTTCCCCCGTTGTTTTTCTTTTTGAATTGGCATTACTGGGGTTTTATTTTTGCTATCAGGAGATACACTCTAGTCTTATGTAGGCAGTTATGTTGTGTGTATGTGTGTGTTGTGTGCCTTCAAGTCATTGCCTTCCCCAGAGACTGACAGCAAGTGACTTGTCCAAGGTCCCCCAGTGGGTTTTCATGGCCAAGTGGGGATTTGAACCTTGTTCTCCAAAGTCCAGCACTCAAAACACTACACTACTATGGACGTTTTCACACGGGGCTTTAGGAGGAGTCTAACCTACCTC